TCTTCATATGATCCAAGTTGTATCTTGTGTTGAAATGATATTATCCATAAATATTCTTCTAGGCTGTATGGCCCGTGCGAGCTACATTTCATTCATTCCTCAATCTTTCAATGTTGGTGTCACTGTTTCACATCTTGTTTTGTATTGTCACCACGTCGCGATCTTTCAACAGCGTATACGAATGAGTAAATTTTCTTAACTATTTGTCTTGTAAGCATTACTTTATTTCACTAATATTTTCGACGATAAGCAATTAAGTCATTAGTTGCTTCATAACAAGGCGCCAATTCGATCAACAAGGTTGAGCTGTCAAGCATGTTCTTTGAACTTGACTGAACAAGTTGTCAATTCATAGTAAAGGGTAGCGATTCTTGATCATCAGTTTGTTCAAGTTTCTTAACACGGATTTGTTAGTATCCTGACCGTAAGTCAATCTTAGAGAACACAATGGATCCTCTAAGATGATCAAATAAGTCATGATACGAGGTAAAGGATAATGATCTATTTAATTGACGATAGTTGATACATAATCTCATCGACCCTTCTATATTTGCGTATGAACAAAACAGGTATTCAAAGAGAAAACACTTGATCAGATGATTCTTTGGTAAGAAATCCTTGAGTTTTCAATCTCAATGGAGAGTTATTCAATATGGAATTATAGATATAATATAGTGCAAATTCCGGATCAATACATGCATAATTTTATTGAATAAGGAAACATATTGATGATGACATTGGAATGTTCATCAACGCGATGTTTCACAGCATACACATGTGCATGAGTTCGTTTGTGGATTATTTTCTACGGGTGGATGTCGGGCTGATGTAGAGTAACTTTGAACACGGAGCATCGGGATTGGTTTTCCAAGGGTTTGTAAGACATTCTTTTCGGAAATGTCCTGGCTTTCCACAGCCGAGACAAAAGCCTTGTATCATCTAGCATTCTCCTGGGTGGTGTCTTCTACAAGTGTTACACTTCGGATGTTTCCTCACCCTCAGTTTATGTTGAGTTTCCAGAGCCTTTCTTCTTTTCAAGTGTGGGGCACTACAAGTTCCAATCAAAGGTTACTTTCCCTTAATAACCGGTTTGATATTTGAACTAGCATTGGATTGACCTTCAATATCTCGGTGGATATTTTGGTTGTCTGGTTCGTTTTGGACAACAAGAGTGAAATTCGATATTTCAATATGAACCGTTGTGTCCATTGTTTGGCACTTGGTTATCTTGTCCGCGAGCAGTTTCTTGACTCATTCTACAAATAGTAGATATTCCTTTATTAGGATGCTTTATTTGAATAGGCAAGTTAACAGACGTCACGAGGGTACACAATAGTGGCGTTGATTGTGAACAATCAAGAGAGATTGGGAGAAACCGATAGGGTTTATTAATTCTAAATGCTTGCGTTTAGGGTCAATGTCCGGATCGTGTTGAGTCCACACGGAGATCTTCGATAACAGCTTCACAGATGGTCAACATAAATCGTTTCATCCGAGTCATCTCACTTTTGTGCGACTTTGCGATGCAATTAAGTTTCGTCATTTGCGATGCGATGCGTGCATTGATAACGTATCAAAAGTTACACATATTTCGTTCATTCTTTCGTCTCTTGCAGAGTACGAAAATTCTACTAGAGTCTACGCTCGATACAATTTCTATATTAATCAATTGTTATCTAATGAGAATTTAATATAGTTAATATTTATCAAGTAAATTCTCATTACCTTTCCTAGAGCAGGGGGATGCGAGAGTCGTGGATGTCATTGACATTTTTTTTACCCAAAATATATATAATATATATATTTTTAAATCAAACTTTGATCCGAAGATCGGGTTTAAAACCATTTGCTCTGATACCAAATTGTAACACCCTAATCCGTCCAGGTCTGCAGCCCCTTTCGAACTAAAGTATTAACTTGGTAATCATAAAATTTAAAACATTTCAATTAACTTTATTCGTCATAAATAAAATTTCATACATAACTATAGAACATACGGAGTGTTTAATAATAATGCGGAAGCGACTTTAAAACAACAGAATCATTTATTTTATCAATAAATCCACCACAACTGTCTCGCCCCTTCGACTTCCAGGAATATGTCAATCATTCATTCTGTCTACCTGCAAGTTGCAAATAAAACACATTACACGCTCAGCGGTGAAGCTGAGTAAGCATATCTAAAGCGTCGAACATTCACATAAATTGAATCTCAATTCATAATTAACCATTTGATATCATGCACACAATATATAATTCAAGCATTAATGATATTCTCACTATTTTATTCCAAGTCATTTCGATATTCAATATCTCAATAATGCTTTTAAATTTTTCTTAATCTAAGGCCAAATCATTTTATAACAAGCTCTTAGCTATTCTTAGTCTAAGGCAATATTTCTAATTAGGCTCTTACACTATAAATAGTCTAAGGCAGAACACAAGAATCAATAATCCATCCTATTAGTCATGTGGATTACGTACCAACCAAACAGTGATCTGTCGGGTGGGTGATATCCGTTCTGGATCCCGTACGTACATTTTAACCCCGAATTTATGAATTGGTCTAGGAGGTATATCTTAGAATTTTTCTAGATATCCTTAATAATCATCATTAATATACAAGTGGGTATATCTTAGAGTTCTTCTAGATATCCTTAACAATATACACTGTTTTCATAATCACCATTATATTCATTTTCAATCATGATTTAATCATCAATAATCATTCTAATCAGTAGGTATATCATTCATAATTATCCATAATAATTATTCATCATAATGATCATTCAACATAACATTTAATAACAAATAGCGACCTAGTCTCGAGTGTTAACCCCCGAACATACCGTCATGCATCACATAATGTTTTATATGTCAAAAAAATCATTTTTATTGTACAAAATCATATTTATATTGTTCATAATTATTTGGTATCAAAAATAGGATTTTAGAGCTCAAAAATAGCATTTTCGGACAAATTTTCGAATCAGAATTTCGGGAGATCGATCCAGCCCTCTAGATCGATCCAAACTAGAATAAATACTCCCAGAGGATCGATCCAGACAGTATGATTGATCTAAACAGAGTAGTTTCATGTCACTGTTCATCTTCTTCAACCTTCGGTCCATTTTTTAGAAATACCATTTTTAGTTACCGAACTTCAATTAAATTATATAGAAATGTTCTACAAATTTTATAGATTATTTTGGAATCATTAAATCATATTTTTAACATCAAATTCAAGGTTTACGGTTTTTTGTTCTTCAAACATGTCAAACACAAAACTCAACTAAATGACCATTTATGAACGTAGAAACGACCTATATGAACATTCTAGTCATTAGATATATCTACGGGCTTACCTCGAAGCGTAATGGAGGTTTTGAAGATTTTCCGGCAAAACTTCTGGCAACTATAACTCTCTGCTCCGGCGACCTCACACAAAGATGACAGCACCACTGAACTCTACTCTCAGCAAGGAACAAGATAGAAGAAAAAATGAATTGTTTTGGTGAAGAATTGAAGGAGTTGGCTCTCCTTATATAGCCAAGTGAAGGAGGAAGAAGACACTGGTTTGGGTTGCTTCCGTGATTGTGTGGTGATTTGGATTTTGGAATCGGTGTAATTGAACAGGGCGCCGTTTGGTGTGTAGTCCCTGATTGGGACTAATTTTGGGCCATATCGTCGCTTGGTGGGATAGTTGGTTTATTTATTTGTGACATGCCCAGAGCTATCTTACGCTATGCATATTTTAACACAGTTGTTGAAGTAACCAAGACAAGATCATTAGCCTGCTACTCTTAGAGTTGTTCAATACTTGAAAGGGGTATTGGGCAGTGTATCGTTCTTTCTACAAGTAATCATTTGCACCTTACTGGGTGGGTGATTCAGATTGGGCAGTGTGTGCTCTCACGAGGCATTTTTTGACAAGATGATTTGTTCAGCTTGGAAATTCTTCTGTCTCTTGAAAAATGAAGAAAGAAACAACATTGCCCGTTCATCCACTAAGGTCGAATATAAGGCCCTTGTTGGAGTTACTTGTTAGTGGAAATGGTTAAAAGGTCTCTTGCACTCGCTAGGCATTTTGCATACGATCATATGAACATATACCATGTGATAGCACGACGACACTTCATATTGCAACTAATCCAATTTTTCACAAACGTACGAAACGCATAAAAAATCATTCGTTCGTGACGAACTTATTCACATCATGTTCTCACTTCACTTCAACTTGCAGAAATTCATATAAAGGCATTGAGAATGATACACATGTAGTTTCTCATTCCCAAGTTAGGTATTACATTTACACGCTTTAATCTGAGGGGGTGTTAAAAGAAAGAATACATTCCCGTATATATTATTATTTGATTTAGGTGTGCATGATAGTATCCTTGTATTGTTCTGTTTAGTTTATTGTTTCTTTTCATGTAGAGTTTGTTTCTATAAAGAATTCTTAACCCCTGAGATCCTATATAAGAACGTGCCTTGTTCATATTAAATCATTAGAAAATACAAGAGAATTACTTTCTCCTAAGTATTATTCTTTCACGGAGGGAGTAATTGGTAGAGGAAAATGCAATAATGAAGAAATAGCTTCTGGACAACCAAAATAAACGAACTTCACACAAAAGTGGTAAACAATACACATAAATGGCAGAAGAAAGGGGCTGTCCGGCTTTCACCTAGTTAGATAGCACAAAACAATCTAACCACGAATAGGGACACAAACTGTCGTAACAGACTTCCTCTATCCCCTCCATTTTCCTCTTTTTTATTTGAACCACAAACGAACTAAAAAAGGGTATCAGTCTATCATCTAAGCATGATGCTTGACTATAAAGATCCCTAAAACTGTGGAGATGAACCATAACATTGTAGTCCAATCAAATCAGATTCTTTCTCCGTGTAGGAGGGACATATATAGCCCTACAAGAAAACAAATTAATCACCACTGAAACATGTAAACTGTCATAAAGAGACAAATGCTGTAAACAAAAACGTAGAAGATGCATTGCAGTGTGATGAGGAAAACATGTGTATGAATGCTTAATTAGTAACCACATAAACTACTCCACAAAACGGAATACTGTAAAAAAAACAAACTAAAAGACCTTAGCGTGGATCCCACTATAAAAAATTAAGTGCTACTTGCAAATTGGCATTTGCGTGAGCTCCATTTATGCTGCTTATCCCTCTCCCACACCCATGTCAAGTGAAAACCGGCAATCCATTATCGATGCGGTTACTGAAGTAACACCCAGTCAGATTCCTTCCCAACACAACATTTTCATTCCTCCTCTCTTTTCCATGCCCATTCATTTCAGCACTAGATTTTCTAGCAGGCTCAAATGATCCCAAACCAGTGCTCGAATTTCTCCAGCTCACACTACTACTACTTCGATACAGCTTCCTGTTAAGCACCCCTCTAGCATCCCTTCCTGCTGGGTCTTTTGAAAAGGAAACTTCTGCTCTCTTACACCTACCATCATCATCTTCATCCTTGCTCCCACCACCTCGCCGATATAGAAAACCAAAAATATTCCATGCCCACTTCTTTGACTTCTTCATGCCCTTTCTCTCAGCACTATCTTTCAAACTAGTCAACTCTAAAGTCTCAGAGCAATCGTCCCTCAAAGAATTGGAATATGAAGCTGAATCCTTGTCAAAAGCCAACGTCTTCGCCCTGTTAACCGAATCTGATTTAAGCAAAGCCTTAGCACTGGAAGCTGCTTTCATCTCATCAATTTCAGCTACCACAGCTGCTGCGGTCTTCCTGATAGAGTTAGACCTATCAAGACTCTTTCGCCTCCTCGTGGAAGAATCCAAATAGTAGTCCCTAGTTTGAGTGGAACCACCAGGAAGAATTGCATCGTCACTGGCGGACTTCATCATAACAGCAGAGTCCACAGCAGGGATTTGAGTATCGGACTGCGGAACAGCCACCCCTGGAGCATCCTCTACCACTGAAACCATAGGTGCCGTCCTGGGGAATGTTCTCCCAATCAAATGCCCATCCAAAGAAGCACGTGGCTCATCAAGGGAGTATCTTGGGCCATCAAAGCTAATCCTAGCAAAATCCAGTGAAAATCGGGGGTCGCTGTCACAAGATCTCCTTCCTAATCCATATTCTGCTGTCTCCGGTTGGATCTCTATGTGTTTCATCATAGACACAGGAGGCGTCTCAACAGAAAGAGAAGAACTTTCGGCAGTGTCTTGTTTCTTCTTCATCTTCTGCTTTTTTCTCCATTTCTGCCATTTCTTGCTCAAAACAGCAGTTGACAATATGCCCCCTGCAAGTCGGGACGAAGACTTTTCCATCTGTGAATCAAGATCAATATGATCCTTCATAGGCTTCGATATATTACCCTTAACCCTATTTTTTCCAACAATCTCCAAATTGACCGCTCCTTTCACAGGCCTTCCAACATGGGGTTCTTGAAGATCAGTGACTTCTTCAATTATATCAGCTGCACTTGTATGTAAAGTCAAGTATTGATTGTTATCAGGGTCGTCGCTTTCTTCTGCTTCTATGAACTCTAGAACGGGCTTACTGGCAACAGTATCAGCAATGCCTTTTGAATGACGGTTTTGGGATCCGTTAAGATGGATTTGCTCGTCTAAAGAGATGATTGTATTACGTGACCTGACGTCACTGGACCTGCGTTGGGGCTCAAAACCTGTGGCTGCGGACGAGCTAAAAGGGTCATTCTTTGAAGCGGAGAGTGACTTGGTACGGCGGAGGTAAGAAGAAGAGGAAGAAGACGAGGGCTTGGTGAATAGGGATTTGATGGCACCTGTAACGGAGGAGGAGGAGGTTGTAAGATTGTTGCTAGATGAGGATTGGTCTAAAGTGGTGAGGCGTTCGCAGAGGCAATCTGAGCAGAACCCGGATAACTTCTCACCTGGGTGGCGATCGCAGCTGAA